GCCACCACAAGCGTATTTGTCAGACACATGAAGCGGTGAGTCCTCTCGCTCAACGATTGTAGGGCATTGGAGGCACAGGCGGCTTCCTCTGTACTCGATATCCTTGGAGTGCCATCCAAATGCAGCCGCTCGATCAGCAAGGGTAAAGGTGATTCGACGCGTTACACTATCGTAATGTGTGCGTTTCGCCGCGCGAACCAGCGTGCGAGTTAAGATCGCCTCCGGCGTTTGGTCTTGTTTGTCCTCTAATAGCTGGAGAAGTAAAGTCTTCTCGGCGATGAAGCGAGGCATACGAATCTTGGGAGAAATAATCGCAACAACACTTCCTTCGAGGTAAGCCTCAAAAAAATCAAGCATAGGCACTCGCATAACACAAGTGTGTGTACACCATAGAAACCCTGGAGGGCTAGGGAGCACGATGCTTCCCATGATCCATGTGGCTAGATCTTCTTCTTCCACTGCAAGCATCGGACGTAGATCCGAGTCTGACTTGGCCTTCCACGGCCGCGTTGCTACTTTTATCCAGAGTTTCTGTTGAACATCCATGCTCCCACTGGCTTCGCTCTGCCCGACCGCGTCCTTATAGCTACAAGATTGGCGTTCAGGGGTGGTTGGGAAATCAGTATCGGGTAAGCTAGAGTCATCAGGAACCCCCGTGGGGACGTCCGAGGATTTAAAGGCGCACCAGTGCGCATTCTTGCCCATCGAGCCCTCGTCAGGAGCTGGCGGAGGTGGGATAGAGTCGTGGGGGGAAGCACCTGCGTCGTCAGCAGTACCGCTGCTCATGTCAAAAAGGGGGGGGCACACTTCCACGTGCCGCGTTGTGATTGGTTACGTGCACTATACGGTGCAAATTTGGAAGTAGAGAGAGATGTGTTATTCACTGCAATGCTCCGTATAGCAGGTGACCACTGATGGAGTTGGCGGCTGAAGCAAGCACCCTTCGCTTTCCGCGGTGAGCGACACTGCGCGCCATTGACAAACATCTTGGTCCGTGAATCCAAGGCTAAGCGGACGGGAGGACTCGAGTTTGCAATGATTAACCTTACAGAAGTCTTGGTGTCCATGGCGTCGTTGGCCGGTATGGAAGAAGCCATCAGATTACGCTCGCGGTAGTGGTGGACTTAGCTGGCGACGGCAATACCACGAGTAATCGCCCGTGTCTCACGATACATTGCTTAGAGCTAAGGGTCGAGTGGTAGCGATGTACCCGCAGCGGTGCTGACAACTTTCGTTGGCCCCAACATGGTGAAGTAGTCTCTACTCCTGCTTGTCAAAGGCCACGGACGAGAGCTCTCTAAGCAACAACATTGCCTGCCGGAGTCGCCCCGTTATAGGCCAGGCTGGCGACCCAAACAAGAGCCGCCGCATACGGGAATACGTGTAAGTTGATACATACCGACCCTAAGCCGCCTGCTATCGGGTTGCTGCGAGAAATATCGGCGAAACAGAGCAAGTAGAAGAAATCATTTTTTTCGCCGCAGGAACAGCCCTAAGTGGTGCAGGCTCGAGTTGGCGCAACAGGGCATCCGCCAACGTAGAGCGCACGAGGGCCTACGCCCGCATACCTGCCCAGCCACCAGATTGATACGTCGAGCTGTGGAAACGGGCCAACGCGCGCTGTAGTCCAGTCTGAGCCAGGGTCTGGTGCACTTCTGTCATCAAGCTGGGTCATCGTTTCTAGTTGACCATGCGGACATTGCGTTCAGCAGATGTGAGCGGCAGTGGACCTAAACAGCGACGAGTGGTACTACAGTTGAATATGTTGGTGGTGTCAAGAGGCGACTGCCCCGCACGTGATGATAGGATGATGATGATTTCATGACCGTCTATTAGCAAACAATTATGCACAAAAAGTCTGAAAACTTCCAAGCCAGGACAGCAGCTCCGGAACCGGGTGGCTGGTCGTAGCTTTCCCCTGAATATATCGACCCATCTCGAGGTTCGAGAGTGAAGAGGTCGATACATAAATGCATGATAGCCCCAGCAACAGCTGTGTCGGGACCGCGATGTTCGCGTTTCGCTACCGCGTTAAGATGCCTGATGCCGACCTCCCAAAAACGCTCAGCGCTCTGAAGAGCCGCCGTCTGCTTCCCTCGAAAAACAGCGTCGTTCCGCTCACACCATAAGTGAGTCAGACGGATGCTGCTCATGATAAACCAAAGACATTCCCAAAGCGCGACGCCTGTCTCGGAGTCCTCCGGGAGCTTATGATGTATCCGAAGACGTTGTCTGGCCGGTAAGGCCGGAGCTTGACGATTCATACCAGCGAGAGAGGTGTTCGAAAGAGCAGGCCGTCCGTCCCGGACACCAGTCCAATGTCCGATAAGTTTGGTCCAACACGCTTGGGCTTTAGCGCATTCCCAAAAGATGTGAGCCGACGTTTCTTTGAGACCCTGGCACGACGATATAGCCCGGCAACTATTATCCGCGCGACGGCCGGAATGGTAGAGGTTGAGTTGCTTGGTGGCAATTCGGTGATAGGTCCAGACCTGGTAGGCGGAAAGGCTGTTAGCATGCCGCCAAACTTGAGACGGACGCTGATTCGCACGTGATGATAGGAAATCGTTCACGAGTCTCGAATCGCTTGGCTACCAGTTGTGCCACGTACTAGCTATCAGCCAAAGATGCCCCTCGAAGGAGCGACTGGCACCTTTGCTGATCGCTAGTGGTCGTCTCATGTGACGCAATTGGCGGGCGACCCGGTTGCCGCACCAATAGTCGTGACCGCGCACGCGCGCAGGGCATGTAGCCGGAACGATTGCGAACGGTTGTCATAAACCATGCACTTTGGTCGGCGCTGCACAATCATCTCTCTCTCTCTCTGCATGCACGCTAAGACATAGCATGAGCAAACGACAAGACTCGCGCTGATCGCTGTGCGCGACTTTACCACGAGCGCCGTGTTCTGTCTCGCTTGCTGTACGTACGTCCACGACCGGTACGCTCTGTACAATCTATGTCTAGTTTCAGCCGATAGCCGCTAAGCATTGGTACGATCGCCTCAGCTCGTCGTTACATGCACTAGGCACTTGTCGAGCAGACGGTACCAACAAGTACGTCTATGTTAGACAAAGGGACGACTCGCTTTCTGCCAACACAAATTGCGTGCTACTTGACTTGTCTTACCGAAGGCCCCGGTTGGTCCACAATCATGCACCGGCCGTACGACACCCGTACTCCAAATTTTCTCAAATGGCACAAGAGAGAGGCAAACGCGTCTTTTTAGCCTTCACAATGGTCGCAGGACATCCGGTATACCCCGAGCCTGATGCTTCGTAACGTCAATGCTCCTCTTCCGAGTCCCATAGTTACACGGCGGTTGTCGCCTTCAATGATAGCCCTTGGGCTCCCCTCTGGATGGCTCGCATCATACCACGACATCAGGCGTGCTCCTTGACGTTCGTGTATGCCCGCTCGATACGCCCGCTCTGCTACAGCTCGATCCTGTTGCATGCCGGTTTCTTACGTTTCGCTGCCTTCACTGGAAACTGATTGCACGTTGAAAGGGCACACAATCTCGTTGCACCCATGAGGTCAGCGTATGCCACAGTTCACACGTGTGCTAACGTCTCGTCGCCGCATCAGGATAGCCTTAGAGTAGAGCATCTTTGATGACATGGGATAGCCCTGTGCCTATCTGCGTGCACGATGTGCCAAAACGCTGTGCACGCGCACTGACCTTCAGCAGTCGTCCGTCCAGTGATACGTGAGCTTATGTGAGCGCGCCTGTGCGCACAAGCTTGTCCAAAATTTTGTCTTGTTGTCTCCTCCACTCCACGGCAGCAGCTGTAGCTTCCGACAATCAGTGTCGCTTTCGAGGTTGTTCCAAAAGAGGCATACTTACCAGCCTGCCTTCCAATACATGATCCACACCCGGTACACTTCGTGAGCTCGCCGCGTCGTAGGCTTCACTGTCGCTGGCGTCTGTGGGACGCTGCGGTCTACCACTCGCTACATTGCGCTGTTTTATTTCGATGCTTTGTCAATTCTTCAGGCAGTGCACCAACGAAATCCCCAAACCGACAATGCGGTTGTCTTTCTGAAGCCAGAAGGACGTGCGGATTCACGCGGGAATTGGGCACGCTCCTAAGCATCCGTAATCGAGCGGATGCGCAAAGACACAATGCCTCGTGGCTCTCTCGGTGCGTCTGGCAAGTATCCACCGTCTGCTGCTTCTCTATGGTCGTCATGACAATCGTCCAACGGAATCCCATACATCGCTCGCTCCAACATGAGGGGCCACTCTGCTGGTCGCCGCTCGATGTGGTGAGTCCCAGATGCAAACAGTGGTCCGTTGCGTTGGGTACCGCTGTAGCGGACCCCTTCGGACTCGGATGAAGCTGCCGCCAATGCCCAATCATCGGCGCACTCAGTCCAATCGCTGTTCGAGGGATGCAGTTTGGCTTGTGGAAGATGTGTGATCGCTTGAGCGGTTGGAACGACGAAGGAGGAGACCTGGACCCCCACTTGCGAAAGCACTTGCAGGTCTACTCATTCGCGCAGGGCGTACGATATCTCGTCAACCTTTTGCAATGGTCGAATCGTTCTTTCGATGGTGTGCTCGTCTTTCCATGGGTTGGTGGCCGATGTAGATGGCCCCACGAAAAGCTTCAACTCCTGCTGTCCTCGCGTGTGCCGATCCTGTGCACGCAGTATCCAGGTGCTTACCACTTGTCGATTGTGCCGTGCGTGTCGTCACTTTGCTCTCGACGCTGCCGAGCGATCCGAAAGGAAGGGCTGTGCGCGCCACCGCCTTTCCATCCGTGCCCTGCGTGCGCCCTCCCGTCGTCACGTTACTCAGCTCTCCCATCTCGCTGCGCTCCTTGACTCGTCCTACCCATGCTCATGTCACAGCGAGCGACATCCATTGTGGGATCGATGGCAAGTCCTTCAGCCCGTCAACTGGTACATGAGTCGAGGCACAACGCAATCTGTCCACGACAGCACAAGCCACGGACCCCCGTCCTCTGAAAGCACCCCACCCCACCCCCATGCCAATGGACGCCAATGCAGACGGGTCCGAGCGTCGCTACGTCCGGTCGAGCGACCGCCGCTTGGCCGAAGTGGCAGCTCAAGCAGCCGCGCGGTTCGACCTGGACGAGTTGCAGTATCGACGGTGCGAATCCAATGGCGTCATGACCGAGCACGTAATGGACGGCACCATTGTGACTGCAACAAGTATCATCGAGTGCTCGCTCGCCGAGATGCGGGGGCTCTTGGCGGCGCCCACGAGCGAACGCTACGCGTGGGTCATGCGCGAACTCGTCGGTCGGGACTTTATCTACGGCACGATCGTGCACCGCGCGAAGGAGGTGGCGACGCAGGACGTGACGGTCCGCACAGCGACGTTCCTCAAGCGCCACATGCTCGCACGCAATGAACAATGGTGCTTCGTGTGTGCGCTCAAGACCTGTGAGGCGACCCAACGCGAGGGCTTCACGGTCACCATGGCGTCGCAGCATCCGGATGACGTGTTCGCGGGCAAAGCTCAAGCTGCCAGCGTCGCACACATCCAGGGCGTCACGGGGTTCTACCTCGTCACGGCCGAGCCACAGAAAACGACGAAAGCAGGACGCACGAAGCGAGCGGTCCGCGTCACCTTTTGCGCCCACGTGCCAACAGCTTTGAGCCCGGGACGGCTTGCACCGTTTCGGTGGCTCCAGTTGACGAAGAATGGACCGAAAGTGACCGACGCCTCGAGCAGCATGGCGCTCGCACGGGTCGTCGAGTTTGCCCGCTCACTGAAGCAGTACCAGAACGCTGTGTGCTGGCGTCGACTGGACGCACAAGTGTTTGTCGACTTGCAAAAGGTGCAGCCGACCAACACCCGTTGTGCGTGCTGCACGCGTCGCGTGGATGTCGTCAAGCGAATCTTTGGGACGGCCCGAGTAGGGACGGCGTCGTCGCGACGCTCGAAGCACTGCCACTTGTGTGGCTTCCTTGCCTGCGCTCATTGTCTGCGCTCGATCGACCAGGCCCCACCGTCGAACGAGAGTTTACAGCGAGCGAAGCAAGGTGTCAAGTACAGCCGAGTGGTGCACGTGTGCGACCACTGCATGCAGCGCATTGACGATGCCGACTACGACAGTCTCTGCGCCACCGAAGGCAGCACGGCAACGTCTTCCCAGATACAGCCTGATGGACCGAGCGTGGAGCCCGCGAGTGCTGTGATTGCCCAGTCGCTCAGTCAAGTGCTTAGTACCGCTTCGGAAGCAGAGAAGGCTGTTGTCGTCCGAGTCATCAAGCACATCATCAGCTCAACGCATACTGGCAACTTTCGTGCCGACTCGAGTGATTTGACCGTGCGACTTGTTCAGTTGGCAAAGGAGTATAGCTTTTCCGGCGAGATAGTTCATCATGAGCCAAAAGCAGTGCCTGAAGTCACGCCTGAACTTCCAGCAAGTCATGACCTCCATCCGCTTGCAGATAGCCGGGGACGTCAATATGAGCTGCAACTTGCGGATCTATGCGACAACAATGCCAACGACGTGAAAGGGGCTCAAGGAAATGAAGATGAAGAAGCTCCAGAAGATGATGAAGGGGAGGTCGATGCCAAAAAAGTTCGCAAGGGGATCGACATCGCACGCCACCCGAAGCCAGCCGATGAACGCCGACGGCTGCAGTGGATTGACGAACACCCAAACATCGTGTCGCATGTGATGAATCTCCCGGATCTAGAGCTGATCTGCAATATCGCTTGTGGAGAGCTACAATGTGCTGCGACGATCGTTACTCTTATCGGACCTCACGCAGCGCACGTCGTGGCGTCTACTGAACCGGCTTGGCGAGGAGGTCAGCTTCCTCGTGATCACTCCATCTGCGCCCACGTCCTCATGAACGACGACCCGCTACTCGTTCCCCATCCAGAAGCGGATGTACGCTTCAGCTCAATGGACCTGGTGTGTCGCGATGGCGTACGCTTTTACTTTGGCTTTCCAATCAAGATCAACTATCCGGAAGGTGGCGGCTCTACTGCCGTCGGGACATTCTGCTGCATTCACGTTGGCAAAAGCCGCGAAGTGTCGGAATCCCAGTATACGCTCATGGCGACTCTTGCTGGCGGTGTCACACGTGTGATGGAGTCCCGGGCAGCAAGTTTACTGGAGGGCTAGAAGAGTGGAGACAATTGACGCATTATAAGTTGCAAGGAGCAACAACGACATGTACAAGTGCATGTGCAGGAACAGCTCGAACACGTCGTCCTGTATCGCCACCGGAACTACGGACAGTTTTACGTTAGGAGTGGTGTGACTGCATCTAGCAGGATCGAGGCCGCAAAGAAGCTCGTGTTCTGGTAAGTTTGCAAACTGCAATACGTTTTTTTAGCTTAACCTACAGTCCCAAAAGCGCTCGAGTGCGTCAAGGAACAAAGAGTCGATCCGCTGAGAAGTAGCGTCGAGACATTAATAAATTTGGCCACCTCAATCTATGAGCACACAGCTTGACGAAGTATGCCTCGGAGCTATTCTCCATTTTTCGCGGTCGAGCTCAAGCCAAACAGCCCCCTGCTCCTCATCACAGGCACCACTCTTCGGCGGTGAACATGTCTTGCAGGAGCTGAAGTGGGTGGGGAGTGGTTGATCCCCGTGCAGCCTCAAGCCGCGCGGGTAGTTAACACGGGGCAACTTTACGATAGTCGGCGTCCTAACGCTACGCATCACTGCTCCGGCACATGCACACGTCAGTTGAAGCAGTCGCGCCAGCGGTTGTTATGGGGCTATCCCACCAAACGTGACATCGCTCCGGCGTATGCACACTTCCGATAATCGGTAGCCTAAGCGGCCGAAACGGATACAAATCCAGGCACACGTCTGGCACTAGGCCCCAGCAGCACAGCCGGACGATCCCGTAAGCGTCTTCGAAGGTGACCAGGCCCCGCACAACCCACCGAACTCTATTGAACATCGGCATTGCCATTCTGGCTAAAGGACTATTAGACATCTCGCAACGAATAACAGCTCAATGGGCAGGTCTGCCTCTCCCTCTCTCATTCCACGACGCATTGGAGGTCGCAGCAGATGACTCCACGTGTGACTCACCTTGTTTCGGTGGCCTGTCTAGACATCCGGTTCAGTATTTAAACGGTCGTAGTGGCACTACCCATCTTCCGTGAGGTACAACGTGGCAGCCTCTTCCCGCAACTTTCGCGATTCATTGAAGTGATTACGTGCTTGGCAGCATGACATTATCAACGCCCTTCTAGTGCTACCTTCGGCGTCTTGTGGCACGGATGGTGAGGCGTAACGAAGCGTTGATGCTGACACGATGAGCAGTTCTAAGCATATGGTTGTCATTGTAACGGGAAAAGCTCGTCCCTCGAGGGAAGCCTTTCTGCGGGGAGGGCACGATAGCGAACCATTTCGCATCCGAATGAGGCCCGATTCTCGGCCGCCCTCACAACAGTCCCGACAAAGAACTTGAGGCAGGCTATTAACGACTTCATCACCATGCCCCCCGACCGAGTCCTTTCGCGAACAGACAACGTGAGGCTAATGATGCCCATAACGCTCACAGAAGTCATAATCGCCATTACAGCGCTTGGAAGGCATAAGGCCGCTGGCCCGGACGGCCTGAATAACGACTTTCTGAAAGATTTCTCAAGCACTTCTGGCGCCAGCCCTCGTCACTATAGGCAACGAGCTCTTGCAAGGCCGGGCCCCTCCACAATCTTTTCTGGAAGGTCTTATCATTCCACTACGAAAGAAGGGCGATTATATGGATGCAATGGATTACAGGCCCATCGCTCTACTCCAAACAGGCTACAAAATTGTTGCTAAGGTGATCTCGTGTCGTGTCCATGAATTCATTGGAGGCCCAGTTCAGAATACACAACAGGGTTTCATCTATGGCAGACAAATATCCAAAACTGTCATGATGATGTTGGCCCGTTTAAAGTCGGCGGCAGATGAATTGGAGCTGGATGCAGCATCAAGTAGAGCCATTTTTCTCCATGACTTTCGAAAATCATACGATATGGTATTGCGAGATTTCCTATTCCAGGTGATGCGGGCATTTGGGTTTGATAGCTCTTTTATCGCGATGGTACGACACCTCGGCGAGATTTCTAGTGTAACGGGGCAGCCCGTTACATGATATTGTCACTTAAGGAAAGTGACAATAAAGAATATAAGATGGATATTCTTTAAACAATATCACCAAAGTGGTGATATTGAAGGGTCGACCAAAGGGGCTGTTCATTGGTTGATATCGTGATGATATCAACCCACCAATCGCCGCAAGACGCGCGCAATGAGTGGTGACGAGACGTCACCATACATGCAGTTATATTAGTATAATTAAATTAAGTCAAACGAAGAGACAGTAGTTTAAAGACTTAATTTATTAATATAACAGTTCTACTTTTACCCTACCTACGCTTCCTCGCTCGCCACGTGTACGTCCGTCGGGGCACCCAAATCCCTTGCGTTAAGTTACGCAAGGGTGTGCCCCGTTACATCTAGTCAATGGCATATTATCCGACCCCACACCTGTTCGCACGGGGATCCGGCAGAATTTCCCGTTCGCGCCACTTCTATTCCTGCTGGTGGCCGAAATCCTGGCTATCGCATTGTTACAATCGCCCATGGTTCAAGGCCTGCGTCATCCCCGGTTCTTCGATCACGAGCAGAAATTTTCTGCTTTTGTTGGTGACTCAACCGTCTTTGTTCACCGTGCAGATCAACTGCCACAGGTCATGAAAATTGTTCAACGGTTCGATGCGCTGTCGGGACTCTGTGTGCAACCGGCAACGAGTGTTCTGATCCTGCTTAATACGGCGGTGGACCTCACAGACTACTCCGGTTTACCAGTGCTTCGACACGGCGACACTACTCGATACTTAGGGTATCAAGTAGAAACAAGGGACTTGGAGGGTGCCAACTGGGCTTTACGCATACGAAATATCAACAAGCGTCTAGCGACAGCAGCAACCCTCTAGACGAGTGTGACCGTTAGAATTTTGCTGTTAATATCAATTATGCTTCCAGCAGTACTGTTTACTTCGGCCGTCTTTCGTTTGCCCCACTGGACCAGGAGTGAGTTGCATAACCTACAGAAACAATATTTGTGGAATCACTCGACGTCTACGGACCGGAGCGGGCACAAAGTAAATCCAGGTCTGCTTTTTATCCCCAGGGGGCGGGGGTATCGGGCTCATCTCCATTGACGTTGCCGTCTGTACGCAAAATTTAAAGCACGCCATGCAGTGGCTCATTCGGAAACCCGATCGTTATTTCCAAGCCTGGCTAGCGTGGACATTCCAGCACCTTTCAGCTTCTGAGACGTGGAGTTTGCCTCCGGCTTTTCCGTCCCACCGGTGCAGCCCCGAAACTCACGGCCCACAGCCCATGTAACGGGGTTACACGTCGGCTGGTAGCCGACGATAGGTGTGGTGCACACACGAGAGGGGGGTACCCTATACGGTAATATTAGAACACAGTGAGCGTATCAATTGTTGAAGACTGGTGTCTGTCATCAATTGATTGCAAGATCTTTTAAGAGGTTATTTAGGGCAGGTTAAATACGTTGTTCTAAGGTGTTCTTTTAGGTTAAATGAAGAAATAAAATTCAGTTCCCATTTTGATCAACATAAGACACGTGCCTTACGAGGCGTCTTGATCGGAAGAGCTAGCAACGCCTGTAAAGGTAGCTACTCTTGAGCACTCTGTGCTGTGATTCATTTAAATCGTTTGGTCCCCCTGGAACAGGAACCGTAAGCTCTCTGAGCTTGTTGACTCTCTGAGTCGGGTTCGTAGAACCAAAGTTGCTCGTAAGAGCGTTAAGTCTTCCTCTAACTTAAGGAGCTGTGTATCTCTGCTACACTTGGTAGCACTCGTAGTCAATCTACACCTGAGTCGGTAACGACTGATCCTCTGCGAGGATGGAGCAATCCGCACCCCTATCTGAGGCTCAAAAGGTCGCGCTTGATAAGCTGACCGCGGCCGTAGGCCTAGAGTATGTGTAGTTTCTAGCTGCACAGGGTCCCGATGTGCTCAACGCACGAGTCGAGGCCTTTATGCAGTATGAAACGGCCCTGTTGGGCCAGGTTCAAAACCAAGTAGCGTCGGCTATGCCGACACGCTACGTGGCTATGCCACCAGAAGAGGCTAAGCCTCGTCCCCTTCGGGTGGACGTTAAACTTTACTCCGGGAAGGAGGGGGAAAACTTGACCCTCTGGATCCGTGAGATTGAGATGGCCATGGACTCTGGTCTCATCTCACTAGAGAACCAGCGGGTCTCTTTTGCCATCTCTAAGCTCATTGGTAGAGCTAGAGAGTAGGCTTTGACGTGTGGCACGTCGGTCAAAATGGCATTTCCCACGTGTACATCGCTCAAGTTAGACCTCATGCGAGTTTTCTCGCCGCCTAACCAGGCATATCGCGTGCGATCACGCTTCTTATCAACCCGTCAGGGTAAGAGCGAGTTAACGGACTATGTCCAAGAGTTGAGAACTCTAATGGCTGCTATGCAGTCTGACCCTCTCTCTGAGACTGTCTACGTGACAGTCTTCATGGAAGGTCTCCGCACTGGCGTGGCCAGAACCGAGGTTTTTCGGGTTCATCCCTCTACTTTTGAGGAAGCTGTGAGCGTCGCTCAAAATGCTGAGCACAACTTCAAGTCGGCCAGACTTGGTTGGAAGGGGTACAACCCAAGCTTTGCGAGGGCGGCCTCTGCGAGGACTTCGGCTTACTGTAAGCCAGAACCGATGGATCTCAGCCATGCTGAAGATGAAGGCGAAGCGGAGCTTCATGTTGCGGAGCAACGACAGGATGTGAGACGCTGTTACATGTGCGGAAGCACTATTCACTTGCGTCCCACTTGTCCTTTGCGTAAGCAACAACCGACTCCTATGAGTCGAAACCCCAGCCTCAACCAGAAACCTGGTATGGCACGGGGAAACTTCGACACCCAGTAGGCGCGGGGTGCCCTACTGGGGTAGAACTAAGTTCTGTCTCATCTCTACGAGATAAAGTGAAACAGGGCTTAGCCCCACTTAGCGCTGTGCTAGCCAGCACAGAGCGTGGATACAAGCCTGGCTTGTTGGCCGCCGAGGCGACAGTAAAAGGCTTTGAGAAGCCGTGGTCGATTTTAATCGATTCAGGAGCATCATGTA